GGAATATGTATTAATGTGTATTAAATTAATGATGAAGCCAGGGTTTTGCAAGCTTTTATGAGATTTCTCTATAAAATATTAACTTTTTAAAAAGTGTATGCCTGAACATAATAGACTGTGAGAATTTTAACTTTTCTGTTTTGTGTAAAAATTGGAACAAGTTGATTCTTATGTCTCCATATCTACAATTAAACAAATTCAAAATATTTCATATCTTGTAGAATCTCAGGTGCCACAAGTTGACTGTTCTTTTCAAGTCTGAAAGTTCGTTGTCATAAAATCTCTTTGTCTAGCCAGTTTAGACATTTGAGCTACGTTGGGTGTCTTCCTTTTAGGGAAAGGAGATAGGAAACATTTACCTACATTGGAAAAGACCATTTGTGGAAATACTTAAATTTTTCATCAGTATACCTTTGCTTATCAGTAACACTTTATACAATCATTATACTAAGATTAGACTAAGAATGGTAGAAGGAACCAAAGACAGATCTTTTGCTCTTAAGGACCTACTTTAAGTTTTTATTGTGAATTGAGTGATAATTTACATGGGAGAACATCGATTTTACGCTCATCGTTTCATTGCAATGATTACAGTGTCCTTCGTGCATCATCATTCAACAGTATTTTCTTTTGTTCCCTCTGCCAGCACACAGCCTTTTTCTTTCCATGAGTCTAGAGACCTCAGCTGTTCTCTCTCTCCATGTCTCCATGTCTGCCTCCCATCTTTGGTGTCACTGCTTCTCTGGATAGGGTCCCACATTCCGCTCATGCTTTTCTCCTTTGATGGTCCTAGGGTCCTCTGTTCCTGGAATGTAAGATTAACTACTCCCCTTTATGTTGCAAAACTTCTTCCTTTACGGTTGTGACAGATGAAATAAGTCATGTTAACAATTACTCAGTATTGAATCATAAGAATCTTATCCCCATCTCCTTTCACCCAGACCCACCTAGATGAGATGAAAACTATTCAATAGGGATTCTACCTTACCCCGCACACTCTGAAACGAAACTCCTTCTTGAAAACTTATAAGCCAGTCATTTTGTGCCTTTATAGCCACCTCCCCCATTTTAGGTAGCCAGGGTGTAAATTGCCAGTCCCCATCAACCCTTTATACAGAGGGGATAGGGTTGATACTTGATGTGAAGAATCCTTCCCTTAGTTGGTATTTTGAGCTACTGCATCCGTAAGTATTGGCCAAGTTCATCAAATTTTAACAATTTAAGTATAGGTCTTAAATTCTTTTATCTTCTTATAGTCAAACACTGATCAGCAAGGCATTGTAGCTAGGTCGAATGGGTACTATCTACAAGTTTGGGTATTCTTGTGCATCTCCCCTCACTTCATATCAGCTGGACGCTTAGCTCCTAGCTCTAGCTAGTCCTCCATGTCTATGTTAAGGACCTACTTTTAAAGTTTTGTTTTCTACTACTAAGGATTTTGTCTTTGTTTTTATGTTTAAGAATCAATAGTAACGGTTTGTTTCAGTGCTTTAATTAGCTCTATTTTATACAAATCCTCAAATAATACTATCCTTGGAGAGTACACACACTTTTGACTTAGAAAAAAGTTCATTTTGAAAGACATATGTAATAACTGCTACAAACACATGGCATTAAGGAGCTCTGGTAGCATAATGGATAATGAGCTGGGCTGCAAATAGCACAGCCAGCAGTTCAAAACTACAAGTCACTCTGAAAGAAAGATGAGGCTTTCTGCTCCTGTAAAAATTTATAAGCCCTTGAAACCCTATGTCAAGGAGCTGAGTCAATGGCATACCACCATCACCACAAGCAAATGGCATAGTGTGCTCATTAGTTGTGGAAAAGAAACTTGGTGTTGCTTATTAAAAAAGGGATATTACTACAACAGTGATATGGGAAATAGTGATTGAAGAGTTGCATTTCATAAGTATAGTTTTGTTTTTTTCAAATGGGTGGATACACTCATGTCAGATAGTTTTTTTAAATTAGACCATTTGTTCTGATAATGGTGAAGACCTTTAGGAAAATAAGACTGGCCCAGAAACTGTAGGACACAGTGACCATAGTTTAAAATGATTGCCACAAGTAGACATAGCCACCTCTTCCTCAAAATGTTTCGATATATAAACTTCTGACCATTTTTGCCTTGTTAATAGTTAATTCAGTGCTTTCACAAATACTTCATGGGTGTGCTACCAAATTTTGATCAGTTGCTTGAAAGTTCTGTTTTATCAGTGTTTTTAGGCTTATCCTATTTTGAGATGATATTGTTAAGTGCCTTCAAGTTGCTCTGACTCAAATCCTCTAGATAGGGTTTCCAAGAAGCAACTGGTGGGTTTGAACTGCTGACCTTTCAGTTAGCAGTGCAGTACTGAAACTGTTCTATTATCCCTCTGAAACATTTAAGTATCCTGAAATTTCAATTTTATTATTCCTGTTCTTTCAGTTGATTTCTCATACATGAAAAAACACACACAAAAAAACCTTAAATGGACCACTTGATCTGATGATAGTTTCAAGGAAATAGCTGCCTGTGGCCTGGAGTCAGAACTAAAGATAATATTTTTATAACTTAAACCATTCATAAGCCCAATCATAAGAATGGCTTAAATTGTATTTGGACAGGTTGACTGTTCAAACCCACCAGCTGCTCCATGGAAACCCTATATATACATGGTTGTTTTGAATTGAAACAGACTTGATGGCACTTAACAACAATGATTGAAGTTTGATGGTGGTTTAGGACTTTTACTCCCATTTAGAATATTGTTTTCATGAGAATCAGAATTCTATTGCATTTCAAACAACTTGTCTTTCCTGCCAGTCTCTTTCCTAATTTCCTCTTACTCTTTTCTCTAAAAGCATTATCAGTTCTCAGAACTTGCTTTAGCTTACTTAGTATCTTCCCATGCTCATATAATCATAGCTCTGCATACATATGTGTGTATATATTTCATTATTTTATAGACATAGCTTGTATTTAAGTTGATATTTTATGCAAAAGAAGATATTTAAATTTTTAATACTTAAATAAGGTCTGCGTTTTTATTCATATTTTCTGCTACAAATACTTAAGCAATTTTTCTTCTGTGGAAAAAGATTACTTCAGTTTTTTACAGAAGCTATTAAACCATATGCAAAGCACTATTCAAATTGTCAGAAATCTACATTTCTCCTTTTAGGGAGCTTACCTACCTAGTCATTGTTTGAGGAAATTCATAATGTTCTTATAGACATACTTTGTGATAAACCAAGCCTGCTTCTGTGGAGTCAATTCTGACTCAAATAGGGCAGTGTAAAACTATTACACAGGGTGTCTGAAACTGTAAATCTTTATAGGAACAGACTGCCTCAACTTTATCCTGAGGAGCAACTGGTGGGTTTGTATCACTGACCCTGAGGTTAGCAGCACAACTGAACCCACGGAACCACCAGGGCTCCTCTGTAGCTTTATGATACTGCTTTTAGTTTAGTTCGAGGATAGTGCCTTGGACCTGAAAACTGCTATGTATGCATTCTGAAATGGAGATAATATTCATATTCTTGCTGTTCTACACACAACCTTGCTTTATAGGTTATCCTAAATTTAGGGACGCTAAATAGAACTTTAATGAAAGCTTGTGAGACAAGTGAGAGAAAATTGACAAGAAAAGAATTTTGAGTTCTTCTGACATTTTGACCTTTAGATGACCCTTCAAGCCTGGAACTGAATTCACCCTTGTGACTTTGATTCAGTTAAATGGTAGACAGTGCTTCTAAGGTGAGCAGTAGCAACCAGGAGGTATGTGCTTTTTAAAATAATCAACTAGATGAGACCAACAGGACAACATTTGTCCAAGGAAAAAGTTCAGAAGGCAGAAAGGGATAGGAAAGGAGGACTGAAAATAGAAAACAAGGAGAAAGTGGGAAGAGTACGGTTACATTGTGGGAATTGTCATCAGTGTCATGAATCTAAATGTATATGAGTTGTTGGGTAGAAAACCAGTTAATTGAGTAAACTTTCACCTAAATTACAATAAAAAGCTTAAAAATTTTTTGAGTTCAGAAATTATTAACTTAGAGTAAATAGTATTTATGGACCCTAAAAGAGATAAGGCAATTTGAAAGTGGAGAATTTTTGTTGTTAATGAAAGCAAGTTTGAACGGCAGCATTGAATTCTTGAATACCACAACTCCTCTACTATCTAGTCTATATTGAGATAAAATGTAAATTTTTTTATTGTCTTTTAATTCATTAATATGGCTTTCTTTCTAAGATAAGAGGGGGCTTCAAAAAGTTCTTAGAATAATTCCTTTAGCTTTCAGCTTCATTTTTCTACAAACTTTCTGAAGCTACTCTTGTTATGTGCCGTGGAGTCAGTTCCAACTCATAGTGACCCTGTACAGCGTTTCCGAGGCTGTGAATCTTTACGGGAGCAGAAAGCCTCATCTTTCTCTCCTGTGGAACAGCTGGTAGTTTCAAACTGCTGACCTTGTGGTTCACAGCCGGAATCGTAACCATTACACTACCAGAGCTACTCTTAGTGCCCAGCATATACTGTATCTTGAATAAGTTCAGAGGAGGAATCTTGATGCTTAAATTATTTAAACTGATCGTCAATTTTTTTAAGATAATAACAATGAGTTGTATCATTCCCTCTTAGTATTTATGATGATAAATGCTAGTCTCAAAATACACGATTACTAACACATTGATAAAGGAGCCCTGGTTGCACAGTGCTTGAAAATTAAGCCCTGGGCTACTAACTGAAAGGTTAGCAGTTGGAACCCATTAACTGCTCTGGGGGATAAAGATGTGGCAGTCAGAAGTAAAGATGACAGTTGTGGAAACCCTGTTGAGCAGTTCTACTCTGTCCGTTAGTATTGCAGTGAATTCGAATTGACTGGATGGCAATGGAGTTAAAACAAATTAACATATTTGATTAGTGCTTTTTAAGAAATGATACTTGTTTCCTTGGTTTGGGGGGCTTTAAAAAAGTAAATAAAATTTAATGTTAATGTTTTCCATCCAATTACAGGAGTCAGAAATACCATCAGAGGAGGGGTACTGTGACTTTAATAGTAGGCCAAATGAGAACTCTTATTGCTATCAACTACTTCGACAACTAAATGAACAGAGAAAGAAAGGTATTCTTTGTGATGTCAGCATTGTGGTGAGTGGAAAAATCTTTAAAGCTCATAAGAACATCCTGGTTGCAGGCAGCCGTTTCTTTAAGACTTTATATTGCTTTTCAAACAAAGAAAGCCCTAACCAAAACAATACTACCCATTTAGATATTGCTGCAGTTCAAGGTTTTTCAGTCATCTTGGACTTCTTGTATTCTGGTAACCTGGTGCTCACAAGCCAAAATGCCATTGAAGTGATGACTGTGGCCAGCTATCTTCAAATGAGTGAAGTTGTTCAAACTTGCCGAAATTTCATTAAAGATGCCTTAAATATAAGCATTAAATCAGAAGCTCCAGAATCTGTAGTTGTGGACTATAATAATAGAAAACCAGTTAATAGAGATGGTCTGTCTTCATCACGAGATCAAAAAATTGCCAGTTTTTGGGCAACACGGAATCTTACCAACTTGGCAAGTAATGTAAAAATTGAAAATGATGGTTGTAATGTCGACGAGGGCCAAATAGATAACTACCAAATGAACGACAATAGTTGGGTCCAGGATGGCTCTCCTGAAGTGACGGAAAATGAATCTCAAAGTCAAACAAAAGTGTTTATTTGGAATGATATGAGCTCCCAGGGAATTCAAGAGACTGGAAAAGCGAGGAGGAAAAATCAGACTGCGAAGCGATTTATTTATAATGTACCACCTAATAATGAAACAAATTTAGACGATTGTTCAGTGATGCAGCCACCTGTTGCCTATCCGGAAGAAGATTTGTCATTCATCAAGGAAGAGCCAGGTAATTACTGTATGTGCAAAGATACCTTGATTTTGAAGCTACTTCATTCTAATTCTGTCTAGCTGGATACAGTCTTAAAATGTATTTTAAATTTAAAATGTTTTCATTGTTAAAGTAATACACACAATATAAAAATTGAATATTTACAATAGAAGAAAAGGGAGAATGACTTAAATCAGAGTGTGTTCTTTTGGTGTGTCTACTTTTTGCTATTGTTGTTGTAGCTATGTGCCGTGGAGTCAGTTCCGACTCATAGTGACCCTGTACAGGGTTTCTGAGGCTGTAAATCTTTATGGGAGCAGAGAGCCTCATCTTTCTCCCGAGGAACAGCTGGTAGTTTCGAACGGCTGACCTTGCAGTTCACAGCCCAATTCGTAACTACTATGCTACTAGAGCTACTTGCTTTTTACTATAGGCACATGCAAATTGATTTCTCCAAAGATAATACATTATCCAGACACCGACTATATAGCTGTACGGAATAGACTCTACTACATGTACAGCGCTTTTAACTTCCCTGACCTCCTCCTAGCTCTGCTCACTTTTTAAGACACAGTTGCAGAAAAGAATAAAATCTTACACATGTTTTGCATCTAGTTAATAATTCTTTATTTGTAATTTTTCCTATTTGAACATTTTCCAGTGTCTTAAAGGATTTTCTAAGTTATAATGAGATGATTGTAATGGTTTCAGAGCTGCTGTCTGTTTCACCATAGATGTTATAGAAGCTGGGTTATTTAAAGTTTGTTTGACTGTTACCCTCTTGTATTAGTTGAAAGAGAGAGGCATTTGAGATATTTCATTGTATCAACCAGTCTTGTTAGGTGCCATCGAGTTGATTCTGATTCCTAGAGATCCCGTATAGGGCTCCTAGGGAGTGGCTGGTGGGTTTGAACCACCAACCTTGTGATTAGCAGTCCAGTGCTTAGCCTGCAGCACCACACCAGAACGCCTAACAGATCTTAGTGTATCATATTTTTGTGGATTTTTTAAAAGAGTTGGAGGACCATTGTTGACGATAATAAGCAGAAAGATTTTTGAAGTTTCTTTATCTTTAGTTTAATCGCTGTGTGCCTGACTTTATTTTATTTGAAAAAGCACCTTAGTAGGTTTGTGGTTTCCTCTGTATACATCCCAGACTTGTCCATTACTGCCATATATGATTTAGTGCTTGTTTTGTCCTAAAAGACTGTAAATTCAGTGTCTGCTTTTATATAATGGGAGATGGAATGCTTTTTATTAAAAAACAAAAACATTGTTTTTACTACTAAGGGCAAAAGCCGTAGTAGTCTTGTGAAATGGGTCTTCTTGCTTTTTAGGTTTAAGTTTTTATTGGTATTTAACTTACTTGAAAATCGGCATGTTGTGTATGTTGTATCAGTCGGTTCTGATTCATAGCAGCCCTGTATAGGGTTTCTGAGGCTCAAACTGAAGACCCTGTGATTTGCAGTTCATTGCTTATCATGAGATAAGCAACACTTGATAACGTATAAAAAATGAAACTGATTTTTTTCATGCCTTAATCAGGTTTAAAAAAAAAAATCTTTGATACAGTTCCTAAAAATAAAGTATTAAGAGTAGATCTCAAGATAATTAAGTACTATTGTGATGTGGCGCTATTTGTTAATGTTTTGACTGCAAAGTCGGTTTGAACCGTAGGGTCCACAGTTCAAGCTCACCAGACATTCCTCAGAAACCCTATACAGGGTCACTGTGGGTTGGAACCAACTCAGTGGCACTGAACAACAACAATTTTGTTTAATAACTAATAAAGATCTTGAAGGCATTCTCAAAATTAGAGCTATATTGTCTTCCTGCTGCATAAATCAACCTTGTTTAACAGTATTGTGGGAATTCTCTGGTGGTTTCTAAAATAAATGTACACGTATTATTTTCCTTTAAGAAATAAGCAGGTCTAGTGATTGATTATTTTGGCAAACACTGCTAGTTATAGCCTGTATTAATGGACTAGGCCTATCTTATAGTGAGGCACTTTGGAATAAAGCACTGGACCACAAGGTCGGTTTGAACCACAGGTCAGTGGTTCAAACTCTGAGCTGCTCCTTGGAAACCCTACACAGGATTGCCACGAGTTGGAAACAGCTTGATGACATGTAGCAACAACAACTATATGATATTAAGTTATGTATCTTAGAAGACAGAATTTTATTCTTTTATCATTCATAACTGTGCTCAATAGCTGATGAAATGTGCTTAATTCATTAATTTGGTTGTATCGGTGATGTGTGCTATACTCCAACTGTTAAAACTTTTTGTAAATTTTCACTGTCTCCAAAAATACATTCTGTAGCAGAAAAATGGGTCTTAAGAGAATTTAATTAGTAAGTAGTATGATAAAAAGCCAGGGGCTGACAAATTTTTGCTGGTCAACTACTCATCTCTTGTCATAGTGTCATAAAAGCAGCCATAAACGGAATATAAGTGACTGTGGGTGTGTTGTAATAAAACCTTATTGCCAATCCTTGGTATAGAGCAGTGGGTTTTAACTACTGCTGCACATTGGAATCAGTTGGGATATTTTCAAGAGTTTTTCCACTAGGGATTTAAATTTAATTGGTCTGGGATACAGCCTAGATGCATGAATTTAAGAAATCTCTACAGGTGATTTTATTTTGAGTCAAGGTTCATCCACTGATACAAAGGTGAAAGAACTCACACTGAGAAGTACAGATTTGAAAACTAACTGTGCCACTTAGTATGTAACCATTATCAAGTTAAATTATTTCCTTCATTTTCCTCATCTTTAAAATATGATGTTGTTGTTACATGTTGTCTGGTCTGTTCCGATTCAGCAACCCTATATAGTATAGAGTTTCCTAGGAGTGGCTGGTGGCTTTGAACTGACAGCCTTGTGGTTTGCATTCCAGCTTATCCTACAGTGCCACACGAAGGGCCTTAATATGTCACTTAATAGAATTACTATAAAGATTGAAATGATGAACCTAAAAGTCAAAGAATTATTATGCTCATCTCAATCCTCTTTAAAGCAGGGAAAACTGTTGAGGTTATTTAAATGAGTTTTTCAATGCAGTGTAATTTCTTCAGGCACTTGTACACATGCGTGTATACGTGTTTCCTTAACAGCCTCAGTGTGACCTTCTGTTTGAATACTTACATGGACTACTTTCTAAGTAGCCTATTCGAGTATATCATTACTGTTATTATTTCAAAGTTATATTAAGCCAAAATTTACTTATTTGCAATGTGCTAATTCTGCCTTCTTAAGTAGTTCAGTAAGCGTTTTAATTTCTCATCTCTTAATTCTACCCATTAATCCTTCAAATACTCAACATTTTAAAAATTCTCCCTAGATCAGACCCCCTTTTCTAGGCTACCTGTTCTTCCCTCCTCCTTGTAAATTTTAAATGCTCTTAACATCTTGTAATCACATACATACTGCTGTTTGTTTCATCCTGAAATTTTGGTGCATAGAATTGAATCCAAACTCTTCAGGTAAATTCTTACTCTCATAGTACATAGTTAACAAAAGTTAAAGAGTTTTCTTATTTAGCTAGTAGTAGAGAGAGCCTTGTAATTAACCACTAAACTTGTGGGCCCCAATTTTTCAAAAAATGAGTCCCTTTTAACTATAAAATATTTTTATGAACTTTGATATCATTGGATATGCTTGAGTTACTCTACCAGCAGTGTTTGGCATATTTGAATTTGTAAATCTCATGTAGGAACTGTGAATTCTTAGTGTCTTTAAGTTCACAATTTGTAAATCATGACTCTAAACAATGTTTTTCTTGCTAGTGGATGTTGAAGCTATTATTAGTATGCATCATGAAAATACATTGTAAGGTATTGCCATATACCCACACAATTCAGAGATCTTATTCAAATGGTAATTTTTCTTTTAAGTTACTATGCGTTTCTTTATATATCTTATCAGATGATACCTTAAAAAGTTAGTATATGTGTTTTTGACTCACTACATAAAAGAAGCCCTGATATGGTGCTGTGGGTTAATGTACCAGACTGCAAAGCTGTTTGAACTGCAAGGTCGGCAGTTCAAGCTCACCAGCTGCTCCTAGGAAACCCTATAAAGGGTCACTATGGGTCGGAACCGATTCGATGGCACTTAACAACAACAACAACTGGGAACTGCAGAGTCCTGGCGTGGCACTGCAGAATAATGTGCTGGACTGCAAGGTCAGTTTGAACCACAGGGTCAGCAGTTCAACCTCACCAGTAGCTCCTCAGAAACCCTGTACCAGGGTCACTATGAATTGGAACCAACTCGACAGCACTTAACAACAGTAACAACTGGGAGTTGCTTCAAGTCCTTGTTGACAAAGAATACTACTTGCAAATCGAACACAGAAAAGGTTAGGAATGTGATTAGCCAGTAGATAGGTTTGCCTGACAGTTTCAATTATCTGATAAAATCCAATAATAGCAGTATAAGAACAGAAATGAGTTGTTCTGATATGCAGAACCATAATCCTATACAGGGTCACTATGAATTGGAATTGACTCCACAGCACATAACCACCATCACCAATCCTTGCTTTGCTGATTTGCAAACAGAAAACAAATATCAGCCAAATACGGTAGATAAAAGTCTAAGATTAAAGTTAAATTATTATTGTTAAGTGCCATAGTGTCGTGAAGTTGTTTCTGATTCTTAGGGGCCCTGAATATAGGGTTTCTGAGTAGCAGCTGGTGAGTTTGAACCACTGACCTTGTGGATCAGTGCTTATCCTGCAGCATCACGCCATGACTCCAAAAGTTAAATTATAGAAATTCAGATTACTAGTACTGGAATTGTTTTTGTGTTCATGTATTGATACATTTAATCAGATTTAGGTGTTAGTCCTGTTTTTGATCTTTTAATTGACTGAGATGAAAACATGATCTTCTTTTCTGCATCTAGATTTTTATACTTTCCCAGTCATACTAGCAAGTTCCACCCATTGTAAATAAGTCTACTTTTTATGTATGTGTATAAATTTTATTCATGCATGCATATCTCA